AACTGTCTCCCCCTGCTTCCAGTCTTTAAGTTGAGCTACGCTAGTCAGCTGCTAGCAGTAGCTCCATATTTAGCATGTGATCCATCTTCTCATTTAACTCTCAGCAACAGAGCGGATGTAGAACTGTGATTGAATCTGAAGAACCTTACTTGTGATTGTGGTCATTAATGCAGTCACACAGATGGATAAATGACACCGTGATGCTAAAAAGAGAAAAAACATTGTAGGATAATTAAAGAACAAATTATTAATACATGCAGTTTATAAAGTTCCTCTGTATGAGTCAGAAGAAACATGCAGAGATATAAAAAGAGAAAAGTATGAGTAGTTTCCTGTGAGCTGTACACACTCACACACACTCACACTCACACACTCACACACTCACACTGGGGAAGAATAGTTATGACGCCTACCTTGCTCTACACCCCCCTCCCCACCCCTCCTACTCTCCTGCTCTTCATCACTATGGTTACGGTGATGCAGGTTACCGTGGCAGCCAAGTCAACCCCACTCTCGTACAAAGGCGCACGTGCATGTGCTTCACCACACACACAGACACACGCAGGCTGTGACGCCGAGGAGTTGATTATAGTTTCTTCAGCTATTTTTAGAGAGACGGTGAAACGTTTGTGCATTCACCTCTGCCTCCGTCACTTTCTCCATCACTTCCTCTTTCACACTCTTTTTTTTAAATCTGTCCTCAGGAGCAGATGATGGATGGAAAGTTCTCTCTTTCTGATCTGTTGTCATTCAACGTCTGTAAATAAAACATGGAGCAAAATGATTTATGACGTCATATGTATGAATGAAGCATCAGAAAGCTTCTTATCTGTTGCTCCCTGCGTGCACGTGGCTCTTATCTCTTGTTCTTGGTGCTGGCTCTTCATTGGTGGATGAAGTTCTCTCTGTGCATGTGAGGCTATACTGCCACCTAAAGGTCAAACTGAAAACTGCCAGACAAGATTGTAATCACATCTCTTTGTTGCAGATTTCTCAGAAGCTGGACTTCCAGGATTAATCACAGATCAAAAGAGGGTAAAAGCCAAAGCAAGAGTCACTCAGTCACACCGTGTAGAGGTTGTGTTTAGTTGTCGCCTGTACAGGGGTTGCAACTTGTAATTATTTTCATTAACAACTATTTGGCAAGTATTCTTTTATTTTTTGAAATAGCAATTAATTATTTGGCCTACACCATGTTTGAAATAGTGAAAACTGGCGATCACAGTTCCCCAGAGCTCAAGGTGACATATTGAAATTGTTTTTGAATCAAATTTTTGTCCGATAAATAGTCTAAAACCAAAAGAAATGCACTTCTTCATCATATAAGATGAAAGAAAGCAGGAAATCCTCATTTGGGAAGCTAAAAAAAATAAAAAATATAAATAATCTTTTCAGTAATTTCAGCTCTGCTTCATACCAACATAATATGTTTATGCCTTATACCTTTATCTTTGCATGTCTGTTTGAAGGAGAAGCAATAAAGGAAGGAAGGAAGGAAGGAAGGAAGGAAACAAGTACACAGTAAGAACTGAGTGAAGGAAACACAAGAAGGGATGATAGAAAGATGGGAAGCAACAAAGTAAGGAAAGAGAAAAGAATAAATGAGTAGAAGGAAGTAATGGAGGGATGAGGAAGGCAGGGGTGAAGCCAAGCGTTACAAACATTCAGGGCTCAGCCGACCCTGTGGGGGCACCGGTGGTTTTGTTTTTACATCTGTGGCTGCTGCCAAACACTCTTGTTTCAGACCATAGAATCCCTAAAAATCTCATTTTGGAAAAACATGATAGTTGCCAATGCAAAAAAATCATCCTGTTGAGCCCACATCTAGTTTTGTATCTTATTTTTCTCTTCATCACTTTGAAAGCATAACACAACAGATGTTGAGGATGACTCACTTTCTCTTCCACCTAAAAAGACAAAAATTATTTGATCTTGTTATTTTTAAGTTACATAACAAAGGAAGGGTCGGAATTTGCATAAAAGGGACCTTTTATGCTTTTCTGTATTTTGTGTCTTTTATATAGCGTAAAGGTGCGGACACACCAAACCAACATCAAAGAACTAGCGGTGACAAAAGCCAACTGTTTCGTCGTCTACGTCGCCTCATTTCGCCCTGTGTCAGTTGCATTTGAACACACTACACGGACTACATCCGACGGCCAAGTAGCACGTACGTTCTGCGCCTGCGTGAGAGAGAGCGGAGTGAGAGAGTGGTACATCCTGTCAGCCGAGGGGTTTCCTATCTGTGCAGCCGAGCACCGCAGCACCTCCACGGACTATTACATCCAGACGGTCCCGGTGTTTCCTCCTCAGGCTCCACTTCACTCAGCTGCCCGATAAACCCGCTGCTTCTTCCCACTTTAACCTGAATAACAAACCAGGGCTCGGTGCTCCGGTTGGATCCAAACGGAGAGCCGGGGCTAGCTCAGAGACTAGCGGAGGCTAACTGGCTGTGCTTCCCTCCGGTCATGCTGCGGCTAACGCTCCGCTAGCCGCTCCCAGCTAGCTCCGGTTTGTTATTCAGGTTAAAGTGTGAAGAAGCAGCGGGTCTGTGGGGCAGCTGAGTGAAGTGGAGCCTGAGGAGGAAGCACCGGTTAGCCCCGGTTTCACTACAGGCAGATTCATTCGCTACAGGGGCGAGGAAATAAAACCTGAACAGCCAATCAGAGTGATCTCTCTCACTGACAAGCTCCGCCGCCGATTCACCATGCTCAATCAGCCGAAAAGCCGCCGACGCCGAAGTGTCGATGGTGCGGGACACACCGCAAACACTAGGGCGACAGACGCTCACTGACGGCCCGACTTTGGTCAACAGCCGACCGTCAGCTTGGTGTGTCAGGGCCTTTACAGTGAGTGTTGGATGTCCATATTAAATGTGGCCATAGTTTTAAATAGTGAGGTAAAAGTATGTGAAAGAAATCCCTGTGAGCAAACCCTCAGCTTTCCTACTGTTCTGGATATTCTGTTTCCAAATGTTTTTTCTACTTTGGCTACAAACTGATGTCACAGTGTGCCGGAGTTCTTTATATGGTCATGTGCTCCATGCGAGCATTGACATTACTTAGCCTACACTGCTACATGTAGCTACATGCTAATGCCAGGGAAACATATAATCTTGGTTGCCAATGTTAATTTGTCCTTGATTTTGGATCATCCTTCTGCTGGAAAATGTGCGCTGGTGTTTAGAAGCTTTTATTTATGATTTCTCATGGTATAAAGTGTCACTGTACTTTAACACAGTCAGATCCAGCTGCAGTGACAGCGCAGAGATGCCAAAATGCTGAGGAAAGGTTGACCAATCAGAGCAGATGATGGGGCCTTAAAGAGATAAAGAGGTGCTAAAAAGAGAATCTTTCAGACAGAGAGTGAATACAGGTGTTCCAGCACAGACAGTGTGAGGAAATGTAAGTGTCATTGTGGCCATTAAACATTATCATGTTTTGTAGAAACCTGAAAATGAGCATAATAGGTGCAATTTAATCCCAAAACATGTTTTTGTCAAACTGTGCTGGAGTAGTGTTCACAGAGTAAATGTTCATCTCACAGATCTGCTCCATTTGAATCCATAGTTAATATTCTCGGCTGCTCACATCAAGGATCCCTAACAGTGCAAAGTAAATGTGGCTTCAGTGCTCTGAATTGAACAATAGGCCAACAAAGACACATTCACTCATTCAAATTAGATTTCTTGAGGGAACAGAATAGCATTATAAACGACATGTGCTACAGGAAACACTGTAAAACCTAGGGTTAAAGATGGTCACTGACAGCCCGACATTGACTGACAGCCCTATAGTTGGCCCTTGTCAGCTGTTTTTGGGCTAATTCGGCATGTTGAATCTGTGGTGGAGCCAGCAGAATTCGTTGGCTAGAGATAGCACTCTGATTGGCTGTTCAGTTAAGCGCACAGGAAGAGAAATGGAAGTGAGGAAAGTAAACAAACCACTGAAGTCAAGAGGCTGTGAGGTCGAAACAAACTTGTTATATTCTGTAAGTTTTTTTTGTTTTTGTTTTTTAGCCATTGAGACATTTAGCAGAAATGCTCTCTTAGCAAACAGTAAATATCATCATCATCATCATCATCATCATGTTGCATTATTAATGTGCTAACTGGCAAACTAGCCAACAACCATTATGAATCGGTTGTGTTGGTCTTCAAGTTTCCCTTTTTGAATGATGAACGTAGACTACTGCCGCCTGCTGGTGTAGAAAGTTATTTCCTCTCACGCAGGTGCACGAGGTACATGCTAGTTGGCCATTGGCTGCGGTCTTTGTGTTGTGTTTAAGTGCAATTTTTTGGCGGCAACACAGGCAATGTGCCATGACACGACTGTCTGCCTTTGTCTGCCTTTGTTCTTCGATGTTGGACTGGTGTGTCTGAATGGTTAGCATCGTCACCTCACAGCAAAAGGGTTCCTGGTTTGAACCCCGGGGTGGGGGAGCCCTCCTGTGCGGAGTTTGCATGTTCTCCCTGTGTCAGCGTGGGTTTCCTCCAGGTGCTCTGACATGTTCTCCCCGTGTCAGCGTGGGTTTCCTCCAGGTGCTCCAGCTTCCTCCCACAGTCCAAAGACATGCAGGTTAATTGGTGACTCTAAATTGTCCGTAGGTGTGAATGTGAGTGTGAATGGTTGTCTGTCTCTATGTGTCAGCCCTGTGATAGTCTGGTGACCTGTCCAGGGTGAACCCTGCCTCTCTCCCAGTGTCAGCTGGGATAGGCTCCACCCCCTGTGACCCCCAACAGAATAAGGGGTTATGGAAAGTGAATGAATGAATGAATGAATAATATTATGTGTGACGCCACTAAAAGATTAAACATAAATCTGTGTCAGTGGCACTTCCTGAAGTATTAAGCCTGAAACCAATGGTGGGTACGTGTGCTCAGCTATGTGTTAACCTTTATCCCTTTTAGGATTTACTCAGACTTCTTAGTAGTAATCTCATTTCTTTTAATCCCTCCTCCTCCCCAGCATGCTCTCTCACATACACAAACACATGTAGCCTCCATTCTCTCATGTAGACCAGCAGCCATTCATGTTGTTGGACTACTGCTGTCGTTGTTTTGGATTCACACTCATAAAACGCCATGGACCCTTCTCCCTCAAGACTACACCCAGTGATACCTTGGTAAGGACACTGAATGATGCGTGCTGGCATAGAGAGGATTAAGGAGTGGTTGTAACGTGGCAGTGGATCGGTGCACAGCGAGGTGTTTACAACATGTCTAATAGAGCTAATTGGTGCTTATCACCCACAGTACTGCCTGTTTTCATAAATTAGATTTTTATTGCAGCATTATTGACTGTCGTTTTAACTACGCCGTCCTCATCAGAGTCATAATAAGCATTTAACTGAGTGTTGATGTCCTCATGTCACCATTAGTGTCTCATTTACCCTGTTAAAGCGTGCTTTTGAGTAATCAGCAAAACTCAATTTAAAGTCTCAAAGCAGCTTTCTAGAGCAGTCCTGTTTTTAAAAGCACAATCCACTCTGCAGATGACAAACACACCATGCTAGCCAAGGTGTTTAGCTGTCTCTGAGGGTATTAGCATGAGCTCAGCCACTTTCCTGCCTCCGGACAAAACCCACGTCCTCCTGGCTGTCTGAGCAGAGCGAGAATAGAGACCACGTGGTTTAGGTGGGACACAATCAAATGAAATGTAGGTTAGTTTAAAAGAAATGCATCCATTATCGTTACAGCCTCAAGATACAGACAGGAATGTTCTGCTTTGTCCCTGCCACTTCTGACTGCTGCTCATGTTCCATATGGAAGTTACCTGGAGAAAATGGAGGATGAAACAAAGACAGAGAATGCACCTCAGCACCATAAATGTCCACTGATAGACAGAGATAGATACTTTGAACAAACCACACTGTACAAGCACTGACATAAAAGTAAAAAAGTAAGCATGTGCATGCACAGAAGTGTGCAAAGTGTAGTGAGGTGTGCAAAATTAATGTAATCATAAGTTACACATTAGGAGGATGTGCTGCACTTTGCCAGAAGGTATGGAAAATGTCATTAGAGAATGGATGGGGCAAATTAAGCAATCTGATTGTTAGCCGTGACATAATAACTGCAATGACATCTAATTCCTCTACACATCTCTGTGTCACTCCTCTTGGCCTTGTAACCATAGAAACTGGTAACAAACTAATTAGCTAGCTAACAAACTCCTACAATGCAGATATATTTACGGTTAACATCAAATCTGCTGAACATAAAAGACGACATGCAGAGATGTAAAACCTAAGCGACTGACAGGTATAGCAACATCCTTGCAAGCCTCTGCAAGCAGTTTTCAAATTCATCCTGCAGACGCTGAACAGTTTTGCAGTGGTTGCACAATAAATGGCAACTTAATAATTATTAGAAATAAATGAATGTGGATACATCTTCCATCGGGATGTGGAGAAAGGAAGTGACAGCCTGTCCAGCTTTGGAGAGCCTGACGTATAATCTAAAAAAGAAGGACAAGAATTTTGTCTGTTTGTTTCTTGGAAACTTTCTGTTATTTAGTTATGTATTTTTATTATTTTTTTAAAAAAGAAATATTTAAACATTAATTTTATTTATTTATTTTTTAATTTTAATTTTAATGTTTTTTTTCTTCTTCTTGCCAGGGTGGAGGATATTATACTAATTTTCTTTGTTGAAATATTATTGATTATTGTTCACATTTAATGTTTAAAAACTTAATAAAAAATATTGTTTAAAAAAAGATATGCAAATGAATGACACCAAAAATAAATGAACACTATAATAGAATGTTAAACAAATATTAGAAATGAATATCCAAATGATGAACTCAATCTGTGATTTTAAAAAAAAAGATAAGAAGCTAGCACATTGCATAGCATAGTGAGAAGGTGTATTAATGCTTTATGATATCTATATATTATCTATGTATTTATTGCGTTGGGCCGAACAATGCGCTTCAGCTGTGATATATTCACAACATACCACAGCCTGTCCTAAGCTGTTACTTAATGTTAAAGACAGTGAGTTGGGTCAGAACCCAGTAGCCTTCCTGACCACTGATGTTGACTGAGACAAAGTGCGGATGAGTTGAACAGTTCAACAGTTTGGTGGCCTTCAGCAGGAAAGATCTCCTGTTTTTGCTGAGCTTGTTAACATCTCTCGCCCTCTTGTTCTGACCCCAGCACACACACACACACACACACACACAGAGCAGACCACAGACTGGTGGAACATCTGCAGCATCTTGTTGCAGATGTTGAAGCCTCTGAGCCTCAGCAGGAAGTAGAGCCGGCTCTGACCTTTGTCTCAGAGGGCCCCTGTGTTTACAGCCCTCCAGTCTGTCGACCAGTCTGAGGTATTTATAGGCGTGAACCACCTCGTCATCCTCACCCTGGATGGATGCAGGTGTCAGAGGCTTAGTCCACAGTCCGCTCCTTCGTCTTGCTTATGTTGAGCTGCAGATGGTTCAGTCTGCACCACCCAACAGAGTCAACATGAAGGTGGAGAGAGCAGTGCCCTTGGGATCCTGTGTTGCTTATCACCATTCCTTACACACAGTTTTACAGACTGTGGCCTGCTGGTCAGGTAATCTATTATTCAAGGACACAAGTGAAGTGTTCACCTGCTTGGCCCTGAGGTCCCAGCAGCAGCAGAGGCTGTACGGTGTTGAAAGCTCTGGAGAAATCGCAGAACATGATTCTCATTGTGGGTCTGCCTTGTCCAGAGGGAATGAAGTGGTGTAGTGTTTAAATTACAGCATCATCCACTCTGATGTTCTTCTGGAAGGCAAACTGCAGAAGGTGCAGTGCTGCTTTAATGATGATGTAATGCCAACAGATATCCCCTAATTTAAATCTTACAGTCATTAGTGCTGAAACAATGAGTCCATTACTTGTTTATCAAGCAACGAGACCAGTCTAGTGGCTCTGTGAGGCTGTTAGCACAGTGGGGCTGTGAGCTAAATGCTAATGTCAGCATGCTAACATTCTCACAATGTTAACATGCTGACATTTAGCAACTTTGTTCACCACCTCCCTCCTCACCACAGGGAGCTCTGTGTGGAGGACTTTATAGTGAGCTCATCTTCTGGACACAAGCCTACTCAGGTCATTTTCTCTGCACCCTTCATAACATCACTGCTGCCGCACAATTACAACGTGCCAGATGAGCGTCGGCTGGTGGACCGTCCATATTAAGCCTTGGCTATCCTTGGGAAAAATATTTGGCTTACCTACAGAAGAGAGCTAGCTAACGCTGGTGAGCGAGAAGGTGAAGTTGACACCACGTTGCTAAAATCTTTTGGACGAAGTCGGCATCTTGTCAGGATCACACTGTGGCGGTCAAGCAATGGTATTTGATCAAACTAATCATGATACAAACACAGGTCCGAATGACTTGGCAGCACAAAGCTGGATCACAGACTTCGATGCACTACCTCCACTCACAAACCCGCACATTGTAAACTATCCAGAGCCTCAGAAGTCGGCGCATCACGTTCTCTACAGCGTAATGCATTCACATTAAATTCCTAATATTACATGGCTAATAAACGTTAAAACAAACTTCAATATATCACTGAAAGTTAAATGCAAAATTTGTATTACTGGTTGTAATCACACTGCTCTCTCTTCTCTCACATCGTCTGCCATCTGTCTGTCAGTGCACTGATGGGATGTATTGCTTGATTAGTGACCATTGGTCGTACACTACTTTACACAATGCATTGTGTGATACTTTGAGTCTAGTGTGCAGGATATAATAATTGTATATGGTGAGTGCTAAGTGACTTTGGACAGCCCATGTTCTCCGTCTTCTGCTACATTCACATTGATTCAGGACAATTAGAGAAGGACGGTAAACTTAGTTAACAGGAACTGAAACGACACTGCCGCTCAGAGTATTAAGTATTGTAACTTATGGGTCGACCTTTATAAACCCAAATATAGGCAGAGTCCTCCTGGGTTTGAGTCCTGCAGCCTGCGGCCTTTTGCTGCGTGTCATCCCTTCTTTCTCCCACCTTTCCTATCTATCTTAGCTGTTCTGTCAATAAAGGCAAAAATCATCTCAAAAATAAATACATAAAAAAAAGTTTTAACTTTTAGCCGTCTTTTGAGACAGCACTTAGAACCAGACGTTACATGGCTCCTTCACACGAGGAGAACACATGGACAATGTGGACAATTACTGGACGTTACCTGAAAGATTATATAAAATAATTTCATTTAATAGATTTAATTCCATTCTTTGTAAACAATCACAACATATCATTTTACTGTCCTACCATTCTGTCACTGTTTGTCTTCTCCATGCCATCCAGAAGATGTCTGTCTGCTTGTGAATGCATTAGTTTAGCATGCTAACATGCTAATTAGCACTGAACACAAAATAATTGAGGCTAAAGGCAGTGTCATTAATCTTGTTTGGGTTCACCAAAGTGAAAAGGATTCACCCGCTGGGGACCACTAATGTGTGTAAGACGAAATTAATAGCAATCCATGAAATAGCTGTTGAGATATTTCAGTCTAAAACAAAATGGTGGACCAGTTCCATCCATGGAACCATGGCGCTAACATCTTAGCACATGCTTTTCTCTGAATTTTGTTCGGACAATACAAACCAAACAAAGACATTACTTTGGACTCTGGGCAGTTGTGATGCGCATGTTTCAGTTTCCTGACATGTTATAGGATTAATCAGTAATTAATGAAAAATATCTGACAGATTAATCCTGAAAGAAAACGATTGTTAGTCACAGTAAACATGTAATAAGGCCCAGATGGAGACATATGTATATCCTTTGAACAGACAGTGCGGTTAAAGAGGTAATTTATTCTATCTGTGGTTTTTATCACAGCAGACGTTGAACTTGGCGCAGCAGGAAAAACACAAGTGGAACTAATAAAATTAACGATGACTCCATTCCCATTAACGAGTGCCAGTGAACCAGTGAGCCAACATGCAGGGTCCTGGCACCAGCACACCTGACTGGAAAGGAGCCCATTATTAAAGTAATTAGTTACACCTGTGTTTGACAAGCCGAAATGTCAGCTGTGAGGAAGAGGTCTTTTATCTCTCCTGCGAAGGTGTCGTGTAACCCATTTCCTGTAAAGGCTGCAGTTAATCATCTATGAAAGGAGACTTTAGCAGGCGAGCAGTGAGCGTCTGCTGCTATCTGCTGTCATCAGCGTTGCTTTCTGGTTCGTGAGAGAGAAGAGAAAATGGAGGAGAGGATTTTTTGTTAGCTTTGGGAGACGCACAAAACATAAAATAACACTGATGGCTTTCCAGTAAATATCTCCAAATGCAGAGCTTTCTGATCATGTTGAAAACACTGACGTAAAGCTTTATGTTTCTCTTGGTATTTATAGTCTTGTTTATTTGAAGCAAAGCTCCGCAGATGGTCGATAGGAGACGTTTCAAAAGCCAAAAGGCATTTTCATCCACTCATTGATTAATGGTTCTCATATATGTAACTGATTTTGGTGTTAAGCCTCGCCCAGGGTTGTTTTCAGCTTTGTCAACATTCAGATGAAGGAAAAATGAAATAATTCTGTAAACATGGAGGCAGGAAGACACAGCACACACAGTAGTGGGATATAGATCCGATATTATTCGATACCAGTACCTGAAATTACAGATGAGAGACCGTCTATTCCTTCCTCTCCCTCAGAGAGAAAATCTTTTTACTACAAAGAAGCTGCTGGTTTCAAACATGCAGCAGGTTTCATGTGAAATTAAAGTCCCTCACAGCCACAGGGCATTATTATTAATCATTTCTCCTCTCCTCTTCTTCTCTCCGTCTCCTCAGGTTGTCCTGCAGAATCTGTTGATATGCATGGTGTGTTTCTACTCTCTCTACTACATCGTGGTCAGTGTGTGCATTGGACTGCTCAGGTACAAACACTGCAGCAACACAAAGCAAAGACAGATAAAGTTTCTTTCAACCACAAAATAAGATTAAAAGTGGACTTTTACTGTTTATAGTTTGTGCACGTCTTTATCATCCTCTGGTGTCTTTAGGGTTCATGAGATCAACAGCTTGTTGGCTCCGTTTGACTACACAACACAACCGTCATGGCAGAACCCCAAATACCTCGGTAAGCAGCATTAGTGGAATGTAACTACGTTCATTTACTCATGTAGTTCATTTTAAGGTACTGGTTCACCAGTTTAAGAGTAAAGTTCCTCCCTGCTTAACCTCCTCCATTCCGTTATGACGCCAGCATCCTCGGATGTCTTTCAGAGGCTGAGTTTTAAAGCTAGAGTGAAGATTCAGGTGTCATATGAAACTATGGGTCCCCTCCCAGCCATGTAATGCTAGCTTGTTGTGAAGGGGGTTAAATAACTCTCCAAATGGGCAAGGGAAAAACCGGCATGGCCATTTTCAAAGGGGTCCCTTGACCTCTCACCTTAACATATCTGAATGAAAACTGGTGTATTTTCGTACAAAGAAATTTGTTCCTACATGAAACTGCTCACAACAAGGTCTGTGGATTATCTTGAGTGACCAGGTCGTGATTTCTGGGAAGAGACATTGATGTTGAGTTTTGAGCACCACAAGCTGATACCCTGTTTACACGTAGGAAAAACGCACATATTTTCATGCGGTCTGGCCTCTTGTTTACACGCAAACTGAGTTTTTTTCACGGAAAACGATCATTTGTAAAAACTAAGGCCAAAGTGGAGATTTCTGAAAACGCTGTTTATGTGTTGCCGTCTAAACTGGGTGAAACGGGGTTTTAGGTTCTGAAACGTCACAACATGCGCCAGCAAATGCTGTGACATCATGTGAGCGACCTACGTTTACACTTTGTTTGGCTACTGATCATGGATGCTGTTAAGGCGGTACTCATTTTTACGTTTGTGCAAACGCTAAAGCGACATTTAGAAGTAGCTCCACTTCACTGTCAATCCACACAAACAAACCTCTCGCCATGATTACTGTTTTGAAAGGAACAGGAAGTCGCGCGTCTTATTCGTTGTTGTTGTTGTTGTTGTCGATTCTGAGGATTCTGATTGGCTTGCATGGCTTCATCCTTCTCCCTACACTGCCGCCCATAGGTTTGGCATAGTTATGACGGTGCTCGACGGCGTATTTATCCGGGTTAATGTAAATGTCAACATTTTTGAAAACGATGTTGTGTGTACAATGTTATTATTGAAAACGGAGGGGGGGAAATACTCGTTTCTCTAAATACCCGGCTATGTGTAAATGTGGTGTGAGTGTCATCTAGCTCCATTATATCTCCAACACTCTGCAGCTCACACCAAAACAAACTAGACTGATAAAAAAAAAAAAAGAAGTATACAGACCTTTGCCAGAGAGGGCATTTGTGCATGTGGCAGTAGGAAAAGCAGATGTGTAAATAATACAGGGAACAAAAATATAAACACTTATTTTCACTCTTATTTTTCATGAGTTGAAATAAAAGCTAAAACTTTTTCTCTGCACACAAAAGGCTCAGTTCTCTCCAGTTATTGATTATAATAATGATCATTTTGGTCACAAATTCATCCAGTGAGTCATGTGTCAGTGAGCTCTTCTCCTGCCACAATAATCGATGCACCTCACAGGTGTGGCATATGATGCTGATTAAAGAACATGATTATTACATGATGCTGATTACAATAAAAGACTGCTCAAAAACGTTAAGGCATTTATTAAGCACTCTACAGTATAGATTTCACATGACTAGTAGCGCTACAGAAATGCATCTGTGGTCAAACAGAATTCACCTGTGATGAGAACACGTCTCCAAAGAGCCAGATGCCATCAAAGGCGAGCAGTTTTCCACTCAAGTCAGCTGCAATGACAGACTGTCAGGTTGAGACCCTGGTGAGGACGATGAGCACGCAGATGAGCTCCACTGAAACTGTCTGTGCAGAAATTCTTTGGTTGTGAAAACCAGCTGCTGCATCAGCTGTTAGGGTGGCTGCTCTCAAACCATCTTGCAGGTGAAGACGCTGGATGTGGAGGTCCTGGGCTGGTGTGGTTACACGTGGTCTGCGGTTGCGGTTATGATGAATGTTAGATGTAGTGCCAAGTTTACAGAAACTGCATTAAAGATGGCTCATGGTTATAAAATGAACATTCAAGCCACGGGTAACAGCTTTCCAAAAACTTGTGACATCTGTGGCATTGTGTTGTGTGACAAACCTGCACATTTTGGAGTGACCTCTTATTGTGACCATCCCAAGACACACCTGTGGAGTAATGATGCTGTTTAATAAGCATCTTGATATGCCACACCTGTCAGGTGGATGGATTACCTTTACTGCTCACTCACTGTATCCATCCTCACCTTTAACATTTCATCCTGGTACAACTCACCAGCATGGGGCCGGCTCAGACCAGGGTCTGACAACTACACAGCTGTGCTCCATTGACTCTAATGCACTCGTTTCAGATTTCCTTCATTTCCAGGCTGGTGTTGTGGATGTGGAGCTAAATGTTGTGCCTGGGGCACGTCGTGTATTAATGATACTCGTTACCTGGAGAGGTTGGAAAAAGATATACGTTTCTTCCCTGTTCCAAAACCAAAATCAGACCCTGAAAAGTGTAGGGTTAGCTAGCTAGCTACTGAAGATATAGCCTACTGAATGTATACACATGCTGCTTTTGCTTTGTAATGATTATAACAGTGAAACAAAGAGCGACCCTGCTGTACAGGAACCAGTGAAGGGAAGCAGGGAAACTTTGCTCATATTCAACCAGCTGTGTGTCATCACAGTGTGTGCAGATGAACAGTGTTTGACTTCCTTCAGAGATCCCTGCCCGTCCAGTGGCGGAGGTTCGGGTTCAAAGCCAAACACGGTTCATCTGCACACACTGTGATGCCACACAGCTGGTTGAATATCAGCAAAGTTTCCCTTTATATTCATTGTGTTGTGTGGCGATCAGCAGTGATGTGGTGGTTCACTTTTACACTGTGATCTGTAGCCTATAGTTCGGCTTTAGCTTCTAACTATCTTTGTCTTTTTAACCTGTTGTTGCTGCTGAGTCAGTTTGACATCCTGGATATATCCTTCAAACACACACTGTAGACCCCTCTGTCTGCTGCTCTCTGGAGTCATGATATGAGAATTGAATCGCTGGTTGTGAAGCATGTTAGAAAAGAAAAGGATGATGCAGAACACGAGCTCAGTGCTCAGTGTGTTGTTCTCTCTCTCTTCCTCTACAGTTGGTGTCATTTCCACAGAAGTGACCTATGTGTTGGGAGGACTGGTGTTCGCCTGGATCGTAGAGGAGTGGGTTTGGGATTACGCCATAACTGTCACACTGCTGCATGTCGCCATGACTGTAGCAGGTAAACACACACACACACACACACACACGGATACACACAAAGTGGATCAATAGAGCGGAACAGCTAAAAGGATTGGAGGCCTGGTTATGTAATTGGATATAGTGGCACACAAACAGCCACTTTACCTTTGTGTGTAAGTTGTGTTTATACATCCTCAGCTTCCTTTTATCCAAGTTATTTACTTTGCAGCGTGTTTTATGTGCAGGTAGTTTTTACATGTTACACACAGTTTCTATGTTCCTGCAGTGATGTCAGACTTCCCTTCAGCTGAGCACTGGTGGATAGCTCTGGGTAAGACTTCTCCTTTCTTCTTCTTCTCTGTCGACCTGTCCGCATGACACCTCCACTCTCTGTCTCTTTGTGGCTGAGGTGTTAGACTCACGATAACTCACTTCCTCCCTCTTCCCTTCAGATTCATGGCTTTTTAAGAACAGCTGCTCACCGCCAAACCTTCCTCTGACTGATCTCCTTTTCTTATTTGTTTAATCGCTCTCTCCGCAGGTTCAGGCCTGGTGATGATGATATTTGGAGGACAGCTCATGGCCTATAAACTCTTCAGGAGCAACTTTGTCTATCCCGCTGAACTGCAGAACTTCTAATGAACACAACGAGGAAAGCTTTTAACTGGCTTACTGGTTAATCTCAGGTCCGGATACGTGCAAGTGGATTCACTTTTCAACGACTGTCACCACAGCAGGTTCATGTTAACACCAGTTTGAGCAACTACAGTATGTCTGTCAATAATATATATATATATTCTATAAAGCAACCACAATAAACACTTTCTCTGCTAGATGTGTGTCAGCTCACAGTCTGATCCCTCCTTGTACAAATCTGTTTTCTAACACATATTCTGTACAGTTTAAATATTGTTTTGTATTGTTTCTTTACAAACTACCAAGTATAAACTAAAGGTAATAGATGAGGTGACACCTGTAGCAAATGTGACCAAGTTTAACAAACTCTGCTGACACTGGTGAGTTACCACAGCAGCAACATGTTCTGATGTAATGATAGTGAACATGTTCATGCGAGTGCGTAGTGTCGTAGTCTGATAAATAAAATCATTATCTGTATTTTAATTATGTTTGTATATATTAGTTAAAACTGGATTTACATTAAATACTTAAAGCAAAATGATTTATTTGTGTGTTTGTGTCTGTATTTGTGTGTCAGGGAGTTGATTCCCTGAACTAGAGGAGCAGGTCAAAGACAGACCTGTCTGAACATACAACATCATAATTTTGATAATATATACAGTCATTGACAGGGACGCATTGATGTAAACAACCATTAAATATCTCACAAAGTCACAAATGAGTAATTCTTCAACTTTTGTGATTTTTCCTGTCAGAAATAAGTAAAAGAAAAACACATTTCTATTTTTAAAATTGTTACCACACTTACTTGAGACCAAAGGTAACAAACAAAAATTAAATGAGTCAGTCATTATTTATTATTATAAAAAGAGTGCCCTTTAATGTGTTTCTTTGCCCCTGATCCAAATTTTGGACATTTAACCCTGCTTAATTTTAAACTTAATACTGATCTAATATGAACTTCAAATACAAATGACACAAAAAATCCCATTTTAATGAAAAGTACAATGTGTTGTAAGATATATTCAGGTTCAGGTTACTTTATTGATACCCAAGGGTAAACTAGTTTTGCATTCCAGAGTCAAAACATCCATCACAGTCTGAACAATCAAAACAAAGCATAGAACATAGAATACAAGAAAGAAATTTAAAATGACAGAAAGTGCTGCAATCCATGAAATAAAAGCAAATAATTGAAAACAATTAAAAACACAAAGAGCAAAATTCATATATTAGTCTATTCTCATAAAAAACAGCTGTCTCTTGGGGTCAATTAGGGTAACAGTTTGTATACTTATTGACCATAGCAAAAGCAATACGACAGGAGAGCACATGGCTGGAGGACAGTTAGCTCTATGGAGGGAACTCAATAAGAAATCAAGGTCATTTTTTTGTGAAATCAATAATACTTTTGTTGGCTGTCATTTCAGCTCAGATTTCCTTTGAAATTATAAATAATAAGAAAAAACACATTTTATTTTGTGTATATTTAATCTAAAGCTAAAAGACATTATCAAGAGAACACAACGAGTTTTTTTGTTTTAAAATTTTAAAATGCAACAAAGTGTAATTTCCACAAAAGTCATTTCCATCACTTTATGTATTGTGATGGAAATGACATACAGTAGTGGGAATAACAATGCCAGTGTTGTATTACCGAAAATATTCTATCAATCCACTTCTCTAAATATGTGTTAGAGTCTATGAAAGTTTCCAGAACAAAATAAACAATAGTTGAAGACTGACCCAAATATGTGAAATCTAATTTGGGGCCTACAGAAAGAACATGTATTATCTGAAGCATCATGTATTTAATTTAAATCAGAATCAGAATCAGAAATACTTTATTGATCCCCGAGAGGAAATTATTTATGTCACAGGTGCTCCTTGCAAGAGAGGAAAGATACATGAAAATATAAGAAATTTAAACAATAGTATTAACAAATATATAGTTAAATAAACAGGAATTATTAACAAACATAAACGTAAATAAATATATATATATATACACATATATATATTGTAAACTGAACAAGATTATTTACACAAACAGAATATATACAGTCAGGGTGAATGGGGTTATTGCACAAGTTAAATTAAATTATTGCGGTGTGTGAAAAAGTCTCAGGGCCACTCAGAGGGAGGAGTTGTACAGTTTGATGGCCACAGGCAGGAATGATTTCCTGTGGCGCTCAGTGGTACATCTTGGTGGTATGAGTCTCCCACTGAAAGTACTCTTGTGCCTGACCAGCACATGGTGGAGTGTGTGTGAGACATTGTCCAAGATAGTTCGTAGCTTAGACAGCATCCTCCTCTCTGACACCACCATCAGAGAGTCACACTCCGTTCCCACAACGTCACTGGCCTTGCGGATCAGTTTGTTGAGTGGTGGAAGAAGTCCTCAGATCTTTTACTTTAGTATGGTAAGATAAAACTTTAATGTCCCCAGGGGGCAATTTGGGAAAACAAAACAGACAGTACGAGACATAACACACAGAATCCAGTATCACACACTGTCAGGGGTCAATCATCAATTAGTGCTCACTGCTGTTAAGAAAAGCGAAAGCAGACGGGATAAAAGACGATCTGTAATGCTTAGTGCTACATTTACGGAGGCAAAACCTTCGCCCTGATGGAAGCATCTGAAACTCAGCATCTGAAACTCAGCATGGAGGGGATGTTGAGAGTCTGAGACAATCGACTGAAAAGAAGCAATAAAAATTCTCTGTAACATGTTTAAGTCCTGCATTTAAAACTGCATTCAAGTTAACATACAGAAGTGTTAAAGTCCAGTCAGTCGAACTCAAAAAGGGCACAAGAGAGGAGAATTTGCAGTATAGCTAATATTTCATAGTTTTTATTCTGAATCATTTATTAAAAGTATACCTTCATGGATTTAGTGCAGCAAGGTCTTTTTCAAGGTCAAAAGCAAAGTTTCAACAGTTAACAGAGACATGGTCCAAAATGTTTTTCCAAGTTTTGAGGCTCCATCTTTTTCAGAAGATATTCGATGTATTATACCTGTATTTTGGGAACTGCTGCTACCCAACACAGCAACACATTTTCCATGTACAGTTTGTGCCACACTGCTGGTGTGGATGTATCCATAAGTTCTTTGGTGGAGACATATGTTTAGCATCTATAATGTCATCAGCCTTTTTAAGTTTGACACGTGTGTAGGGGGTGATAACAAGGGGTAGACGAAGGGTTGTGGAGGGTTTGTGGGTTTACTGGTTCTATTAGCAACTTTGAGCATCTTTACTCTTATTACCTCCGCCAAGGAGGTTATGTTTTCACCGGCTTTGGTCTGTTTGTCTGTTTGTTTGTCTGTCTGCAAAATAACTCAAAAAGTTATTAACGGATTTTGATGACATTTCCAGGAAAGGTGGATAATGGGACAAGGAACAGATGATAAAATTTTGGTGGTGATCAGTTGAAGCAAAGTGGATAAAATAGTAAATAAAGTCTATGGTCTGACAGCCTCAGCAGCAATTAAGACGGTGAAAATAGCGCCATCTGGTGGCGGGAAACCACGTCTTGTTCTACTTGCTAAATGTTGTAATTCTAAAGTTGAAATTGATGTTCTGTGTTGGAAAAAAGAAAGTGAAAAATACAAAGAAACATATTATATTCTGTGTTGGTACAAAATAAAAACTAAAAATAAATATACCACAGTGTCTCCATGGTGACGGCATATATAACCTAATAATGATAGTGATGCAAATAACCTGATTGTGATGCAGGCTGCAAAATCTGATGCAGAGGGGGAGGGAATATCACCTACTTGGCAGAGGTCTGCACTCTCTGAGTGCTCTTCTAGTAATCATTATCTTATCTTTCAGTCAATTCAAGCACTATATTTGAATTTAAATACATTGCAAAAGTGATCTGGAGCTCATGATAGGTCTTAAATGGAGGGGCCTTCGTCCACAGAGTAGCCTGGCAGATAGGAAAACATTTGGTGCAAGAGTGGAAACTTAAATTTATTACGTCCAAACATTATAAGCAATCAGTGGTGCTCATGTGTGATGGGTGAAGCAGCCAGCTGTCTATGAAGGATAGTGCCCACAGAGAGGAATATAAAGACTGCATTCACATCGACCATCAGCCATCAGCCATCAGCCATGTCACTGAGGCTGAAATATGTCAAATAATGACAGCACATGTTTCATAAACCTGTTGGAGGGTTTGATGTTCACAGTGTTCATAAAGACGCAGATGTCTTCAAGGTTCAAACGGCAGCGACAGCAGCACTGACACAAACATCTGTCCTTTGGAGATGACACAGACCTCCTCATTCAACAACACGTTCAGAGGCAGATACATATTAATGTGTTCATCACTTTAATGCTGCAGCTGTTAGAGGTGGAAATCATTTTTATTGCGTTATAGTTAGTTAGTTCATTTATTTATCCTTTCGGAAATTCTTTTTGTGTCTGTGGCATCGTCAGAAAAATACACAAGAGACATTACAATTAAGGACAAACATTAAACAACCATAGAACAAGTACAGCTGATAACAACAGCAAGACATAACAACAGCATCTAACAACAGTGTTGTGAAGCAGCATCACCGACAATCAAAAATGAAGAAACCTACCATAGTGTGCACCTTGTATCACAGTCATAATTTGTTCAGCAGAGCTGTACTGGAAGGTAAACTTAACAATCTTGTTCAGTTTGTTCCTGTTTCCTACAGACAGTGAGAGAAACCAAGCAATAAAGGCAGAAAGTTAAGATAATCTCCACAAATGAACGATAAAGAGAACCAGTATTTGTTCGTCCTCTCCAAACTGTCTGAGCTTCCACATAAAGTCTTTGCCGTCCTTTGCTACAGACTGTGTTTGAGTCCCATGACGTTTGTTTATTGGTTACTGTCCATAGATATTTATATTCACTGACAACTAACTACATGTTAGTGTGTGTCTCTGCTCAGTCTGAAATCAAAAATCATTTCTTTTGTTTTCTTGGTGTTCAGCTGAAGAAAAGTAGCATGACACCAATTAACAAAATCATTCACACATCCCTGATAACCTGTTTCATCCTCAGCTATCAAACCAACAATCTCTGTATCGTTAGCACATTATACTGCTTTGGAGTTTATAATAATATATCAAAATGTATTAGGTGATTTTGTGCTACTGATATAATTATGCAAAGTAACTAGTTGTGAAAAGGACAATATTTATTTAAAAAATGGACGCACTCAAATTACAAGTACCTCAAATTGTAGCCTATTTAAATACAGTATTTCAGTAGTTGTATTTAGTTACTTTGCACTACTGATTACATTACAAATAACATGATAAAGTGGAGGAAGCAGCAGCAGTAATGTAGTTTGGGCCTGTGTATTTAAGGTTACTGACACACGCGAGTCTCATTTGTTATCAAGGTCACCTGACTGCATGTCGAAGCCGAGCGCCAAACGAAGCTGTAGTTAACTCTGAATTAAACTACCTGTTTAATTACGGTAAAATAAACCTGTTTAACGGTAAAGGAAACGGACACACCGACTGAATGTCAGGAAACGGTTTAATATCCAGTATCCGGCGGTTAATAAACGCCGAGGAGCGGCTGAGGACGATCACTCCGGTAAGCTAACGTGTTGTTAGCATGGCAAGCTAACTAGCTAAGTGCTAGCTAGTCAGCATGAGAGGCTAACTAGCGAAAGGCTAGCCCCTGGGTGTGTGTGTGTGTGTGTGTGTGTGTGTGTGTGTGTGTGTGTGTGTGTGTGTGTGTGGTGAGAGCCGCTCTGACTGTAGAACACACTGAGGTGTCAAACACACATTACTGCAGCAGCACCTGTTTAGCTGCGGTCATAATTTAAATTAGCAATTAGCTCTTTCCTAAAGTTAATAAATGTGATTATTGTCATGTGGCGATGTTCACCATTTATTTTAAGCAAGATTACTTTGATTTGAGGGTTTAAAATTGACTTTGGTGTATTTCACATGAATTCAGATCAACAGTTTTTGCACTATAACATTCTTTGGTAAAAACTAAGTCACACTGTCAAACTTCTTAACACAGCCAGCGAAGCAGAAATTAATCAAATTCAAGAGGGTTTATTGGCATGATCAATGATCATACTATAGTGGCTCATTGCACAAGATGCTGCACACAGGGAGGAGTACATTTTTAATGGTGCAAACTAGGGCCCGACCGATTTTTTTTTTGGGCTGATGCCAATTCTGATATTATGGATTAAAAAAATCTGATAACCGATATATCAGCCGATTAATTTTTTACGTTTTTCAGTTTAAAAACCCCAAAATACCTGCTTTTGATGGCTTAAATATAATTTAGTTTTTAATGACTAAAAAAGCAACGTTTCGACCCAAATGGTCTTCCTCAGGCCATTTGGGTCGAAACATTGCTTTCTTAGTCATTAAAAACTAAACTGGGAGCTCTAATTCAGTGTGCGGATTTTCTTCTTCTTTCTGCATGGACCCCTGTTATCCAGCACCTGACCTAAAGCAGGATTGGATGTGCGCACAACTACTCTTTCTTCTCTTAAATATAGTTCAAACACTCGTAACAAAGATATATATTGACGGAAGAACATTTTACCATTTTCAAATACTTTTATTATCAGAAATTGTGTGAAACAAGCAGCATATGAACAATTTGAACACAAAATAAATCAAAAATATGATGTGCAAAAAGGCAGTAAACCTCTGGGAAATAAAATAATGCAATCATGCAAAGTCTTTATGAATTAAGACATTCACGTGTGTTCACAGTACCAGAGTTCTTCTTATTATTGCCAATTTAACAGAGGTAGGGTATAGTGCAAAAAGTAACACAAGGACATCATTTCTAAGTAAAACACCATATTCCCTGCATTTTATTTGTGATGAAAATATAAGTGTTAACGATTATTCTCTAATGGCTATAATTGGCCGATTAAATCGGCCGGGCCTTAGTGCAAACAATAAAATATTATGTTAGCAAGGTGCAAAAGCAACAACCATGTCAGTGATATTATTTTAATGCAAATAGCAAGAACAGGAATAATAATAATAATGATGATGATGATGATGATGATAAACTTTATTTCTATTGCACTTTTCTAAACCAGAGTACAAAGTGCTTTACAGTACAGCACCATACAAGTAAATAAAAGCAACATCATTCACAGAAAATGCAATTAAAGAATTATACATATATCTATACATATACACATATGTCCATCCATACATGACTTACAAACACATATAAGCTTCACATACGTACATACATGCACACATATACATACATATACATATGTGTGTGTGTGTGTGTGTGTGTGTGTATATATACCCTAGCAGCTGCAAATCTGCCACTATCTCCTTCCATGCTTCGTCCTTCTTTATGCGATCATGGTCAGAGCTGGAGGACACATCATACAGGTAAGGCCTCTGCTGCCACAGCTCCACAAGGTTTCCTCTTTGCTCAGTTCCCACACACATTTCTATTAGTGCGTTTTGCCTCCATGGCGAGCTGCTATCAGTCTGTTTGTTTGGGTTTAGCGCCAGTGCATCATTTCATGTTGCATTTCTATTGGTCGGTTAGTAGATGTACTGTAGGTGGTAACAGCAGACACACAGTGAGAGGGACATCCTGAATTTCTGACACTGTCAGAATTTTATCCCAGGCTGTCTTTGATCACAAGACCGTGACCACAGCCGTCCTTGAACCTCTCTCACCGTGCGAGGTAGGACCACCATGTTACAGCCACGACCAAATATATCGCCACGTTCCTTTCACGCTGGTCATCTTTCGTCTGGGACAGTGCAGAATCGCAGAGTGTATACCAGGCTTAAGGATTACACCAGTTGTGATTTTTAATTTTTCAGTGTGGAGTCATTTTGAGGCTTTCCTCTCCATTCGTAGAGTCCGTTTGATCATCTTCGCCAGCAGATGGATGATTTGTTAGGAGATGGAGGGATCCTGAAAGAGGTGGTCCAACCTGGAGACGGCCCACCAGTACCCGAAAAGGCTTCAGTATTGAGTATTTACAAGTTATATTTTCTTTTAAAATCTCCTGATGCAGTTTTTCCTAATTAGTTTGCCATACCATAACCTCTCCTTCTTCTACAGTCCATTACTCTGGTTTCCTGGAATATTCCGACCGGCCTTTTGAAACCACCACAAACCTCAAGTACCCCCGGATGATGAAGTTAGGGAGAGGTCAGTCATTATTTGTGCAGGCTTCATAGAAGTTTCTCCTTGATTGAAAACTCATAACTTTTGAACTGATGTCTCAAACAGATGTGACGCTGGCCGGACTGGAGCTGGGTCTGTTGACCATGAAGAAAGGAGAGTTCTCTCGTTTCCTCCTGCAGCCCCAGTATGCGTATGGGGACATGGGTTGTCCTCCGCTCATTCCCGCTGCTGCCATCGTTCTGTATGAGATCCAAATCCTCGATTTTCTCGACTCAGGACAGGTGGACGACTTCATCGCGCTGAGTCCGGTAGGGAGGCTTCAGGTGTCCGCATGTTATGACAGTCTGAGAGTGCTGAGAGGTCAGAAATGACCGAGGTCATGTCATGCTCCTTACAGGAGGTTTATTTATTTACTCACCTACGCATGCGTGCATTTGCATTCATGCAGCTCTAGAGCAGTGGTTCCCAACTGGTGGGTTGTGGTCCAAAAGTGGGTCATGGGCCCGTTCTGAATGGATCACAAGGGACTCGCAAATGTTTCTTTAGTTACAGTACAGTAAATTTCTGACACAGAGCTTTTATTTTGAAGTGCCTGTATGTTTTTCATCATTTTCATTTTCAGTTACTTGTTAATTGTGTCGGACCATCAGAAGCAAAATTAACCTAAACTGACATCCCTAATTGTTGGCTACCTATCATTGCTCTATCTGCAGGAGGAGCAGAACACAGTTCCTCTGTCCACACTCCTCGAAGTTGTCAACACAGTACGCAGCTTTGGCAACCGTTGCTTCAACCAGAGCCGTTACGACAATGCCAGAGATCGCTATAAACAGGTAAATCTTAAGAGTTAGAAGAAGAGGAAACCACGCTGCTGCCGCTCTTTATATGTGCACTGGTTCAGGTGATAATGTTTTGTAATGCATCCTGTGCTTGGCCAACAGGCAACAGTGCTGCTGGGAAACAGGGAAACACTGAACGATGCCGAGATGGAGAGCATCAAGACAGCGCTGCTTCCTCTGTATCTGAACCTTTCTCTCACTGAGCTCCGTCTGGACAGCCCCAACAAAGCCCTGAAATATGGCAACAAAGCCTTGGGCATCGACTCTGCCAACACAAAGGCTCTTTTCCGCTGCGGACAGGTCAGATGGAGCTTTCAGATAAAATCCTCACAGGCTCTTGGTTCAAGTGGCCGATATTGAATGTTTTGAAGTCACCAAGGAAGTTAGAAATACGGATGATGACAGCACAGGCACAACCACACGCAGTCGATGGTCAATCCTTGTCCAATTGTACTAGGTTTATGTTGAATGATGATCTGCCAATAATGAGAAAAACCTCTTAGTATTTTTGTACATTTTGATTTATTTATATATTTTGAATGTGTGAGCCACAGTTTCCACAAACCATCCATGAGGCGCTTGTCCTTCACCCTCAGTGTCCCTCTGTTGCTAACTGTTTACACTCTGGATAACAATTGGTGCATTGTTTAGACTGATGTCATCTCTGTCAGGCGTATCTGCAGCTGCATGAGTACGAGAGCGCCCAGGATTGCCTCATCGCTGCTCAAGCAAGGAAGCCCTTTGACAGCGACATCAACAACCTACTGAAGAAAGTGGCGATGTAAGATGAACTTCTGTTGACACGCTCAAGAAGTTTAGAATGAGCACTGTAGCCAGGGCGATGCAGTGGCCCAGTCAGCCTACTCATTTCTTTAGTTTTAAGGTGTAAAAAAAAGTTTTTTTCAGCCTGTTGTTTAAACTATGTTTCCACCACGTTCTCAAAACCCATGATGATTATTGAATATATTGAATTATAGGGGGTGGGGGTAAAAATTGATGCAGCATAGTATCCCGTGCTGATATTGTATCAATATGTGGACGTTCAAAACAACGTTAAATCAAATGTCTGGACTTATTTTGGATTTTTTAACACAAACGGAAGGAAGCACTGGGATATGACTCGAGCAGTGTCCTGTGAGAATAAAATACAACTAACATACTAAAATAATACTTGTAACGGGTTATCTTGTGTTGAAACAACCTGTGTACATGCACTAATGTGGTTGGAATAAGGGTGTAAAAAAAATAGACTTCAGGATTGTTTCACTGCAACATTATGCTGCATATTATCGCTGCAGGTTGGATGTAATGAAGGAAATACAGAGGAGGAAAATGAAAGTAAGAGTGTCTGTCTCACAGTAAATCTTTAGAGTAACAGCGTGAAACAATCAGAAAATAATGTTTTAATTCTCTAATTCAGTGTCTTTCTCAGCTCGCGATCTCTCTCTGTTTCTCTGTCTTTTTTAAGATAAGTCAGGAAGGAGACAGCAAAGCCCTGACCTCACTTCTACTCATACCAAACAAAGATAAATGTTCTCTCCTAAAATGGTCCCAAATCAACAATAGACTATTCCTTATTTTCTGAATGAAGTGGTACACGAGCTGAAGCAGCAGAGCGGAGTGTGTTTGACCAATCAGTGACAGTCATTCCTGAAAACCTCCCCCTGAAAGTTCCTGTGCTTTCAGAAAGTTCAATCCTCCGATCAGGGACTTTTGGGGGGATAAAATAATGTCCCAGGAATGCAATAAGTTCCTTAAAAGGTTCCTTGTCCCTAGGTAAAGTTTCTGTAGTCAACAAGGGGCTGAATATGTCTTCACATATACTCACTGTATTGCATGTTTTGATTTAAAATGGCAGTTCTAATCTGAAGATATTCATAAAAAATGTTTAAATGTTTCAGATGCAATAAAGACAGCTTGGACAAACAGAGAGACATGTACTCCAAGATGTTCAGAGGCTTGACAAGCAAATGAAGGTGTAAAGATCAGTACAAAGGTAAGAAATCCTGTCTGTCTGTCAGTGGTAGGGGTGAGTCCGTGTACACGTGTACACGTGTTTGAGATCATAAACAGTTATGAAAAATGAGTACACAAAAACTGTTTTTTATTTAGGATGGAGGGGGGGTGATACTCATTGTTGAATAACTGTGATAGACTGTGAATATGACAAGAAATGGTGTGAGACCGGGTTTGGCAACAGGTCAGTAGCCTACACGCTCCGTTCTATTAAAACGGCGCAGTCTTGAAGGGGGTCGTTTGCCAGTGGGCTACAATGAGCACCGGGCCATCAAATCACAGCATCCGTGGTGAGAGAACACGGAATAGTTTGCGCGTTTACGCACGGGTCGGTGGTGAAGTGGCGCACATGACTCATGCTATGGACAGACGAGCCACGTATCTCGGTGCCGCTTAAAAACAGGTAATACATCTGGCTACATCTTTCCCACATCAAATATCCATGATCGCCTAGACCTGTGCGTAAAAGCGCACACAATTCCTTGTCCTCTGACTGCAGATGCTGTGATTTGGCCCAGTACTCATTGTAGCTCACTCTTATAAGACCCAATAATAATAATGATAAGTTACTGTGGACCTATATGCCATGCCTTTTAATAAAATTACCAGAGGAGTTCACTGAAAAACAGGTCATGTCAGCCTGAATGTACATGTACACGTTTACACGACAAAATGACCCACTCTAAATGTTTAGAGATTTTTGTGCACAAACTCACCCCTAGTCAGTGGGTCATCAACATTCATCCAGTTTACTAAATAACTGTTTTATCATTTTAACCAAAACTCAGCAACAGTTATTCTGTCTGCATTCCACAAGTACAGCTCCCATGAGTCTTAGCAATAGACACACAGTTCAAGTATCATTGGGTGCTGATGTCTCAGTTGTTATATGGTGACAATAAACAGATGCAAGGTTAGACACTAATTGAACTTGAAATGAACAGGACAGAAGAACACTGTGTCATCTCATTGATGAAATGTTTGTGTGTTGCAGATGATGGTGTAAATAATAAACATCAAGGTCCAACGGCACATTTTCTCTCCAGTGCTGCAAATTCTGACAGTTAAACACTTCTCTTGTTTCTGTGTATGTTAAAAGAATAATGCTGCACAGGCGTCTCATTTATTTCCTTTACAAGAATCAGTTCTTCAGATTTCTTCAAATGTGTGTTGATTTAGTGCAACAGTCACGTTTATGTGCAACAGTCACGTATATGTGCAACAGTCACGTATATGTGCAACAGTCACGTATATGTGCAACAGTCACGTTTATGTTTGAGGATTTGTTTTGCAGAATTTGTGTAAGTTTGGAAGAACATTTTCATGAACACAGAAAATCTTGATGATTCCTCTCTGTAGAGTGTGTTTATAAAGACTGCCGGGGTGTAAATGTCTGCATGTGGTCTTATGGTGATAATGATAAAATAAAAAAGCTTTTTCACTTTGTGACATCTTTTCTTTGTTTTAGGTGAATTTGTAACACTGACACATGGCTACTGTGTCATTTAAAAGATATTTTAATGACATTATTATTTTATTGTTGTGAATCAGTGTGAAATAACTCACCTCAGTTTTAGAAATGATGTCAGTCTAAATGACTAAGTCCATGTGGTGATAAAGGAATGTGTGAGTGTGTAAATGTAAAATCACTGTTTTGGGGAGTGTGGCTTAGGTGCATGAAGATCATTTGCATTTTGATTGAAGGGCTGCCAGTTGTTGTGTGCACATTAAAACACCAGATGGCGTACTTGAGCAATCTGCCTAGACAACAGCACTCTGCTCATTTATGTGATTTAAAATGTGATTTCAGAAAGACAGAAACTTAAGTTTATAAATTAAAGCAACACTTTGCCAGAAAAAAATCCAAATACAACTAAGATGTGAGATATTTGACCATTCAATTAAGAAACATTAAAATATGAAAAGTGATCTAATATGATCAGACTGCATGGAGTTATTTCTAAATTTGTCAGACAATTCATTCAGTCTCACAGAGTCACCATCATCAACCTCCCTGCCTCTGTGGCACTCTGTTATAGTCAATCCTCCACTCTCCTCATGAATCTCTACTTTTTGCTGCATCATTTGGGGATGTGTATGTCCAGCCTCAGCTATCACCAGTGTGGAGATAGATTGACTTGTGTCTGTGTAGTGATACATTTTGATACTGAATTTGAGTTGCTGGCCCACATTACATTGAAGTTATTGAAGACTTCCATTATTTTCTATTAAAATATTTACGTTAAATTAATGAACTGTACATTAACAATAAAAAAAAGTGCCACATGAGTCCATCCATCCATTTTCACGCTTATCTGAGGCCGGGTCACAGGAGCAGCAGGCCGAGCAAAGCACCCCAGACATCCCTCTCCCCAGCAACACTTTCCAGCTCCTCCTGAGGGACCCTGAGGTGTTCCCAGACCAGATGAGATATGTAATCCCTCCAGTGTGTTCTGGGTCTGCCCCGGGGCCTCCTACCAGTGGGACGTGGCTGGAACACCTCTAACAGGAGGATCCTGATCAGATGTTGAACCACCTCAGCTGACCCCTTTTGATGTGAAGGAGCAGCAGCTCTACTCTGAGCTCCCTCCGGATGTCCCTATCTCTACGGCTGAGACCAATTTCATAACATTTTTTTATTTATGCTGTCTTGCCAATATAAGTGAGAATGACATCATCTCATGCACTCAAACATGTAAGCATACGGCGTGAGTAGATGATACTTGACACAGTGCAGCAGAGTCAGGTAGAGGTCAGTAAATGGACAGGCGTAGTAGTGGCAGGAAGAGAAGGCGAGGGGGGAGGTAAGATGACAGGAGGATCAGAGTTGTGGAGGGGCAGATGGAGGAGCAGAACAATCTGATTGACCTCTTAGGTTAATCCTCTTGTCTCCCAGCATATGGCCCGCAGGTCGTGCTCCGTTAAAGACTGTGTGAGTGGACACAGACACAGACGGACACAATGGTCTCCAGATTTTCCTACTACCTTCATCTCAGGTAAGGAACGAGAGAGTGAGACAGCGTGTGTGTGTGTGTGTGTGTGTGTGTGTGTGTGTGTGCTCTCCCTGACACATGTTGCTGTGTGAGTGTTTAGACTGTTAGAAAAACTGACATTTGTTCCACATTCAGGTGTCAGTATATAATGACTCTCATAGCTTACGTTTCGGCAACATCTGGAAATTTGTGTTTTCAAATATTAAAACGTATTGAAACCACTCTGCTGAGGGAAGGATGGCGAGGCGTTCAGGGGCCTTTATTGCAGTCCTCACAGAACAATAACAAACATGGCCTTCTGTTGGCTGCTGGCTGTCTTGAAGGGGAAAAGGGGGAGCCAGTAACAGACATCTCTATGGGTGATATCTCCAACACACAGAAACTCACACCAAAACAATGTAGACTGATAAATAGCACTACAGGTAAGAGGAAAAATACATACCATAAAACTTGAGTTAGCAGCCCGGGCTGTTATTTGCTTCAATCACTGAACTCAACAGGCCTGTATTAGAGACAGGCCTTTAATTCCTTTCACACAAAACTGTTGCTCAGCAAAGATCAGGAAATACAATCAAACTCTTTATTTAAACCAATATGAATATTACTTATGTTTAAAAGTTAATTTCAGATAATATATGAATTATAAATCATTCATTTGATCAAGCTCAGACAGACAGCACATCAGACAGAGTGAGTTACAGCATTCGAGGATTACGACACCCAGCACAGTGACAACACTTTATCCTGTTAAAACAAGAGTCAAACCCTTATGACTGCTGTGATCTGAGGACCCTTATGGACTAAAGGAATATGAATGACTTGCAGGGTAATGGAGGAATGGACACGTAATATGAGGCAGCCAACAACTTGATTTTATACATCCAAAGAACTTCAGCGGCCCAGGCCTCTAATTGAGACAGGCCTTTGTTTGTGAAAATGTGTCTCATCACAGAGCTCGTAAGGGGGACTAGAAGTTGAACTGAAGTTTTATGGTATTTTTAAATTCAGGGTGAACTGTCCCCCCTTTTTTTTTTTTTTATAGATTTTATTTCTGGATTTTTAACCCTAACAATACACAAACATGGACATTGAAAAATTATACGCCATTTCCTACGGTGTCTAAAGAAGGTGGAGACCTGAGGTAAAGGCCACGAGTGGTCGGGGAAGGTCCAACAAAGAAATAGCACAGTGTGCAGTCCAATGCAATGAAGAAGAGTTAGACAGAGTGATCTGGATTTCCTCAAGACGTAGACAAGAGATCATGTCAGTCATTTTGTAAAGTAAGGAGGGGAAGCAGATTTCCATTCTTGCAAAATAACCCTTTCTGCTGTGACTGTACTGAACACAGGAGCTTGCTGTAACGCAGGGAAAGAGTCAAAGAGTAATCAGAGCAGCCCAGTATCACAGTGAGCACGGTTACATGCGCACAATAATCTCATAACTTGGAATAATCAGGTAATGGAAATAATCTGATTTGACGTGTTTACGTGCACTTCAATAATCTGATAATCAGAAAAACCTGGTTTACATGATTCAGTTCTCCTCAAGTACATGACATAAAACTCAAACTTCCTGTTACAGTAGATACTCATATCCTGGAAAAACCATCATATATTTGCAGAATAAAGCACTCATCATGCTGACAGCTTATATTCTTACAGTACTGTTTGTTTTTATCATTAACAAATACATGTGAGAGCATTCTAATGTGTAGTTTATCATTGTGGAGCCAGTTTTACATACTTTGGGTAGATTCGGAGTAAAAGTACTGCAAAGTGCAATAGACAAGTGTATTGTATATAAACTTGTCACACAAAGTGCATAACATATAAGTAAGATAAAATAAAAGTGACAATTTAAACACAGAATATAAAAATATATTATTTTATGTCAAATTTTTATCTGAAAGGAAACAAAAGCTGTCAGATTAACGTAGTGGAGTAGAAAGTACAATATTTCCCTCTAAAGTGTAGTGGAGTGGGAGTGTAAAACAGCAAAACCTGAAAGAAACCAGATTAAAGGGTATACATGCACCGAGTAATCTGACTATTGGGGAAAAAGCCAGATGTGTTTATCTGATTTCTCATAGTCAGATAATGGCTTTTATCTGATAAAGCCTATCGGATCATGCTGTTTATATGACCACTTGAATAATCAGGTAACTCCAGAAATCAGATACTGATGGGTTTATTAGTGTGCATGTAAACGCGCTCAGTGACACAGTCAGGGACTAACTGCCCAGAAAGTCCTGAGTTTGGGGCAAGAACAAAAAGGTGGCCTGAGGTCCCCACGCCTGATTTACACTGCTCACATGTAGCAGACAGAAAGGATGTATTCTGTTCAACAAGGTCTTGGATAATGAGAGCAGTGGATGACTTTAAACTGAATAAGCTGAAGTGGAATGGGACATGTTTGTAACCTTTGTAACCCCTCGCTGATAATTCAACTGTCCCTTTAGATTAAGATGTGAGCGCACACTTCATAAAGAGATGCACAGTGTTCAGGTATACAGAAGATCATGTGCTTTGTTTCTTAATGGAAGGAAACACCCTCCAAAAACCCTGACTTTTAAAACTGCCCCTCCACTTCACCAGGAAGTAGTCAGTACCCTGTTGGAGCAGCAGGTGGCGCCACCAGCTGTGAAACCGTACCCTGTGGCTGCAGCCAATCCCTGAGCTGTGCTGTGTCTGTAAGCCAGCCCCTGTCCTCTGTCCTGCCTCACACACACACACACGCACACACACTCAGAGTTGTGGAGAGAAAGACGAGAAGTGGAGGCAGACGGAGGGAGAGAAGGAGGAGGAGAGTTTGATGTCAGAATGAGTCGGCAACATAGACAGACAGACAGACAGACAGACATATAGACAGGTCACTATCAGTCAGTGAGTGAGGGTGAGGTGTGTGTGGAGCAGGAGACACAAGACAAGGAGGAGAAACATGAGTCGGCAGCAGCAGCAGACCCAGGGAGTGGTTTTAACGGGTTACCACAGCAACGCGGAACTGTTACCGAAAACTGGGCCGTGTGTCCCGAGCAGCTGTCCGTCAGCCCAGGACCCCGAGCCCAACCTGCCCAGGTGGGACATATGAGTGTGTGTGAGTGTGTGTAGCTGCAGTGTGGCGCTTTGTAAAGAGGGCAGTGTGTGTGTGTGTGTGTGTGTGTGTGTGTGTGTGTGTGTGTGTGTGTGTGTGAGAGAGACCAAGTGAGCAAAGGTCACAGTCATAGTGTTGTTCTCCTCGTGTCTAAAGCTGCTGTATCAAAGCCTCCATGTCCCAGTGTGCAGCTGCGTCCTGCTGGAGGACCTGAACCCAGCTTTAACTTCAGCTCCACCTGCTTAACTGCAGCTTGTTTTGTTGCCCCATCATGGCCTTGGGTTATGTGTTTCCTTCAGCACATTCCTAATCAGCAGGTTAACCTTGACTTTGTTATACTGGCCCAGATTCTGCAGGGCTGCC